TCTCCCAGCCATGATGTTCTGCAAGTCTGGAAATTGTTCAGTAGTGTTGAAAGTGCAGAAAATATGAAGAAAATGGTGATTATTAGGTAATTTCAGTGTGTAAGGTGAGTCGGTGAGAATGAAGTATTTTTCAGAGGTAAAAGTGAGGTTTGGTATGTGAGGGGGAAGCTGAAGTTGAGAAAAATCTGGTCTATTCTTGATGAAAAATGAAGGGAAAAATAATATATATATGTGCAGTGGCATTTTTATAATTTCTAGGTTGATGGGTCAAAGGTGCACAATGGCCTAATGGGTAGATTTGGGTGAGCTATCGAGTTTTGAGTGGTTCTGAACATGGTTGATAGCTTTTTGGTAGTGATATTATGAATTACCCAATGGTTCTAGTGAAGCACCACCAGTTCCAACAAAGCACCGTTGGGTCCAGCGAAGTACTACTAATTTGCTGAAGGCTATCCATTTTTGGTAACTCTCCAGCCATACAAAATTCCATTTTGGGGGGATAATTGAGTGCAGCAAGCAAAATCAAATATGGCCAAGATTTTGGTATATTTCCAAGGGTTGCCCAGGATTTTGGAAGATTCCCAAGGTCTGTCCAAGATTTTGGTAGATTTTTCCAACATAATCAGATCTTTTTAAACAATTCCCAAGGGCAGGGAACTTGTGCAGCCACCTTTGCATTGAATATGGCTGCAAGTTGTTGATGGTGACCAAAACAGCATCTTCGGTTGGTTTTGAACAGGATTCCAAGCTTCTAGTTAGCATCAAACAATATAGTTTTGGGGATCAAGTCTGCCTCCACGTCTTAACCACCCAGCCCTTTTTGGCAAAGTTAGGCAACATCAATAGTGCCAAGCTTCGCTTGCGCAAATACCTCGTTTCGCCAGACAGGCAACACTCACCCATCCATGCCTACCAAGCCACTACTCCCATAGTTTATCTTGAATAATTCCCATGAGCTTGGACTTATGGGTTTATTGATGACTTGCATGTATAAGCAATAATTAGTTGATGAAGATGATCAGATTTAATAAATAAGGAAATAATAAAGGAAAGAGACTTCCTTATGTATTTTTAGATATCGCTAGGGCTTCCTTTGCATTTCTGGTGATGCAGCTATGTACTGTAGCATTAGATACCGTTGGGACTTCTTTTGTATTTCTAGCAATGCAGCAATATATTGCAGCATCCGATATTGCTAGGCCTAGCCATGTGCTGTGGCATCAGATATCGTTGGGCTTTTTGATAAATGCATGTTGAAGGCATTAATAGGCGCTTAGATCAAGGCAGGTCTTGCTAACATGAGAACTACCCAAGTCCAAGTTTGACTTTTTATAAAAACATCCATCAACAGTTACTAACTATTTGTTTCCAAATAACAAAATGATTGTTTTTTCAACTTTTGTTGAGTTTATCTATTATATAAAGCGCTTCTTACTTAAAAGTTAGAAATAAATTGAAATCCGAAATTAATGGGCTCTAGTTTACAATTTAATATTTAAAAATAAAATGAAGTCCAAGTTTATAATGGGCTTTAGTTTATATATAATTTTATATTAAAATATATTCCATAACAATAAATCTAAAACAATATATGATATTTTTTTATATATCTAATATGTAACCTTCTAAGAAGAAAATTGATATATATGCCAGTACAAAATTAAAAACTTTAGTTTTATGTAATAGCTTTGCAAGTTAATATATGAGTATATCTTCTTTTATCAAAAAAATAAAAATAAAAAACATTTTGGGGAGGATTTTTTTTTTAACAGCTTTTGAGAAAGGATATTGACCATGCCTTTGGACAAATTAAATACATAATGTCCCACGATGAATGCATGACCTCTGTACTGTTTTCCCTGAAGTTTCGTCTGCTTCGGCCAACATGGTTATTGAATTTCATGTGGTAATAGTTCAAATCCCATCTTTTATACTAATCTTATTCATCCAGTGCTCAACAAAAATTGCCCTTAGAAAATGTGTTTGACAAAGTTGACAGAGTTTGGAGTAAGCATGTATATTTTGATATATATATATATATATATAATTAATCATTATTTACCAATTTACCATACGATTTAGTAGTGGTTAATTAACTCATGCTTCTATGTGCTAATTTGGGTTGGGGGCGCATGCAGGCTTAACAAGTTCAAGCACAGCTTCAAGGAACTTCGATGGTGAAAAAATGTTTATATTCGTCTGGATGTTGATTTCTTGTATCAAAAGAATGTGGTGAAATTATGGATGAGAAATATGGGGAGGACGTGCGTGATTTCAGAGCCACTAATTTTTGTTCATAATCATGACATGTCTTGTTTGAGGGAAAAGAATGAAATAGACAGCGGTAGCTAACAATTCTTGAGAAATTTCAAACCCAAAATTCCGAACAAACATATAAAAATCTGAGAAAGATGAAACATGTGATATGATAAAGATATATTCCTTATTTCCTGCAAGTAACTGTACAATGATAGCCACTTTTACGGGCACGGAAGAAGTTGGACACGAGTGATTTTAGAGCCACTAATTTTTGTTCATAATCATGACACGTGTTGTTTGAGGGAAAAGAATGTACAAATCTTGAGAAATTTCAAACACAATTCCGAACAACCACTACTAGGACGTGAGTGATTTCAAAGCCACTAATTTTTGTTCATCTAATAAAGATGAAACATGTGATATGTTAAAGATATGATAACTACTACTATGATAAAGATGAAACAGGGGATATGACAGTGATTTAAGAGCCACTACAACAACTACTATTACTATTACTAGGACGTGAGTTGTTCATCTGATAAAGATACTACTACTACTAGGACGTGAGTGATTTCAAAGCCATTAATGAGTTGTTCATTTGATAAAGATACTACCACCACTACTACTATTAGGACATGAGTGATTTACTACTACTACTAATACTACCTACCACTACTACTACTATGACATGAGTGATTTCCAATCCACTAATTTTTGTTCATATGATAAAGATGAAACACGTGATATGTTAAAGATATGATAAGGGATATGATAGTGACTACTACTACACGTGATGATAGTGGTTACTAGTGACTACACGTGATGATAGTGAGACTACTACTACTACTACTACACGTGATGATAGTGACTACCAGTGACTACTACTAGTACACGTGATGATAGTGACTACTACTAGTGACTACACGTGATGATAGTGACTACCAGTGACTACCAGTGACTACTACTACTACACGTGATGATAGTGACTACTACTAGTGACTACACGTGATGATAGTGACTACCAGTGACTACTACTACTACACGTGATGATAGTGACTACTACTACTACTACTACTATTGTTCGTTTGATAAAGATACTACCACTATCACTACTAGGACGTAAGTGATTTTAGAGCTACTAATGAGTTGTTAATATGATAAAGATACTAGCTACTGTTGCTGTTACTACTACTAATTTTTGTTCAGAGCCACTAATGAGTTGTTAATTTGATAAAGATTGATACTAGTTGCTACTGCTGTTGTTACTTCTACTACTATTGCTACTGTTGCTACTACCATTAATGAGTTGTTAATATGATAAAGATTGATACTAGCTACTGCTTCTAATAAAGATTGATACTAGTTACTACTACTATTGTTGTTGCTGCTACTGCTACTGCTACCACTAATGAGTTAATCTGATAAAGATTGATACTAGTTGCTACTTTTGACAAAGATTGATACTATTGTTAATCTTTGATATTGTTTCTAATAAAGATTGATACTGAATCTGATAAAGATTGATACTAGCTGCTGCTTTTGATAAAGATTGATACTAAGTGCTGCTTCTAATAAAGATTGATGCTAGCCGCTGCTTCTAATAAAGATTGATACTAGCCGCTGCTTCTAATAAAGATTGATACTAGCCGCTGCTTCTAATAAAGATTGATACTAGCCGCTGCTTCTAATAAAGATTGATACTATTGTTAATCTTTGATATTGCTTTTGATAAAGGTTGATATTGGCTACTACTTGAGGTCAATGTCTAAGAAAATTAATTTTTTTTTTGAATGCATCAAACTAATCTTTGATATTGCTTTTGATAAAGGTTGATATTGGCTACTACTTGAGGTCAATGTCTAAGAAAATTAATTTTTTTTGAATGCATCAAACTAATGTGGGGATATATCTTTAAGACCTTTTAGGGAGGGATTAATTTCAAACTACACAATCCTGCTTCTGATAAAGGTTGATATTGGCTACTACTTGAGGTTAGTGTCTAAGAAAATTAATTTTTTTGAATGTATCAAATTAATGTGGGGATATATCTTTAAGACCTTTTAGGGAGGGATTAATTTCAAACTGCACAAAATTGGTCTGGAGACACTCTGAAAATAAATAATAAAAAATAATTATAATTTTTAATCTCAAACTAAACAAAATCAATATTTCAAAACATATAATTGAAAAATTTTTGTGTTCCTCAACAATTTATTGCCTAATAGTAACCATGCTCCAAAATTACATATTAACTTTTGGAGTAATAATAGGGCAAAAATTTGGAACTAATAATGTGATTCATGCTATATAATTAAATTAATTGATACATACAATATTATAAGTTTCAAAAAATAAATCAAATTAATTATTAAATGATATAAAATTCACCTTTTAATAATTTAAATAACATAACATAAATCACATTATTAGTCCCAAATTTTAATCCCAAGTTTTAGTCTTATTTATCATTATTTTAATTTTTGAGACCTTAAGTTGTTGTGTGCAATGGTACAAACGATTTCTAGCTTTTTTAGCCAATTGCCATTCATATGGACCACAACACAATAAACCACAGTAGTACTTGTCAACTATCATGCCACATCATCACACACTGTGGTTTAAACGTATCTTCACAACGGTAGGGGAAAATAGGGCAAAGAAAAATTAATTCACCTTTGTAACTGCTTGAAAGGAAACCCTAGGACAATATACTATAAATACCAATGCTCTCCAGCTCTTTCCCGCACCAAAAGCCTACAACTTCATGTAGCCAGCCCCATTCTCGCACTTATCCACTTCAAAACTTTTTCACATACAAAAGAAAAATGTCAACCCAACCCTCGGCAGTTCCTACCTCTCCTCAAAATTCAACTTGCAAAGATAGCCGTCCTACATCTGGTTATCATCCTTGCATTTGGAGGGATCATTTTCTCAAGCATTCCTTCAACTTCATGGTAATTAATCATATTATAAAATTCCTAAATCAACACTCTTGTAAAAGTTTTGGG